AGAAAAGGACAGTACGCGTTGTAAAGTACGACGGAAATGGCCTCGGAATCAGCATCAAAGGAGGACGGGACAACAACATGCCCATTATTATCAGGTACGTCCAGAGTAGAGCACTAGAAGTTTCAGGACAAAGTTGTGGGGTGGGAGGGGGGGGGCACCCCCGCTATGTCACTTTGGCTGTCCTCTCTTTTATGGAGTCTTTTCTGAGCCCTGGAACAGGTATTTACGCTAATTCCTATTTGGCGAGATGGCACAGACAAGCAGATATGACGTCACATAGTCGCGCCGGCGCGTGTCTCCCCCAACTACCGTTGGTCCGATGTTCATTTCGTTTTCTAGTAATACCATTTCCAGCAAAATCTTCAAAGGAATGGCTGCGGATGCTACGGGAGAGCTATTTGTTGGGGATACAATCCTTGCTGTGAATGGGGAATCGCTAGTCGACGCCACGCACGACGATGCCGTACGAGCGCTGAAAAGAGCTGGACGAGTTGTCGACCTATACGGTAAGCGACATGACAGAGAAGAACTTGAGGCGTGAGGATTTCAAAAGCGCATTCCGCGTTCATCGATTGGACGGGCTAATTGGATAATTTGCTTGAGAGTCCTTGAAAAATGCACCAATTAGGAAAAGGCAAGGGCTCGAGTGACTCCGCCCATACGATCAACGTGGAATGTGCCTTTAAGTCCGCGTCCACAACAGACGACTCAGCCGTGGCAAAACCTCGCGAAAGCGTGCTCCAAAGCTAATCGTTGGGCAGCTGCAAATGCCAACTCAATCACTTCATAATAGGATTTCTGTCGTAAGAGTCAGTGGTTCAATGCTTGACAGTGGAGCATGGTCAGCCGTAGTCGCGCGACTGAATCACTCTAATCGCGAAGCATGAACGCAGCAAATGAGTACGATTTCAGTGCAATATAAACGGGACGAAGTGGTGCGACGGGACAATGTCGTTGAGAAAATCGAATGGGATGACGACAATCGTGACAGAATCCGTGCCATTGGTCTGAAACTTGCATGCGTTGCTCGGGCCGGAATTGATGCCGACGCTGAGGGCAGGATATTCGAGGTGAATGAAATTCCAGACTTCGATAACTTATGGGCTAAATCGAAGGCGAATATTATAGATGAGAAGTCCGTCGGGCCGTTATGCATTGGCATTCCGTTGTGCTACTTCAGTGGAAGCCGATTCATGGTTCGAAGCAATTCATGGCTGCGCTAATGCATTGCTTACGCAAGCACTCGCTCAAGTAAGGCATTTCCCGAGAAAGAGGACTTCCTGTTTTTTTACCAGCTTATTCTTCCAGGTAAACCTCATGCTAGGTGGACACCCACAAGTGAGGCGAATGGGATGGGTATCAGAGCAGGTGAGAATATTAACGTTTTCCAACACGACACACCCTGATGTAGGGAAAGATTTTTGCATAACTCGATCCTCTCTTCAAAATTTCCTCTTCTGGGACGATGCGCCCCCTTATCCATCCCCCATCCTACCTACAATGTTCCAAGTCTTCCCAACTTCCTACCACTTTTCTGGAAGTCTTTCTTGCTCAGCGACCAGATACGACCCTCGCTGGGTTTCTCCAGCGGGCGGGGGGGGGACGCACGTCACGCGCGTCTCCACCCAGCACTTGCTTTGAGAGGTTGGCGAAATAGCCGAAGCATAGAGGGTGGGTCGGTTAGCGCGACAATTTCGTTCCAGGATCTCAATATCAACATGGGCAACGCCGCAGTGTGCCACAACAATAGCTAACAAAAATAATAACCAGCTTGCACCGCTCGAAAAGTGCATGGACTTAGGACATCCCTCCAATTGAAACGTAATCGTCGTCTTCAGCCCCAGAAGTCGGCCCAGAAAACCCTTAGAGCTTTCTAGGGATTCCTAGTCTGACCACACTACTTTTATGAATTTCTTTTCGTTATTACGTAGATGAGGTTGTTGTGATAGCGCGACCCTACAACAAGCACAACTCATTCTCTGATGGAGTGCTCAAATCGCCCATGCAAAAAAAACATTACGGACCACTTCACTATGCTTGATTTAATTTTTTTGTTGTCGCTCTCAACGAGTCAAGATAACAATGCAAAAAAGAACTTCGATAGCAAGGATTAGGAAAATGTCACGGCAATATTTTATGGCATCTGCACGATCCTTCTTGAATAGAAGTTACAGGTTTCTTAAGAAGAGCTTCACCCAACCTTCTCGTTTTATTCCATTAGATCTGTTTTTCACATATTCATTTTATTTTATTTGTTTTTGCTTCTCTAAATACACATTCTACTTGCTTGTTACTAGGTTTTATTCTTTCTGTTCTCTATTAATTTTGAGGCCGCATCACTCTTTTTATATAGCAGAAACCGCTTCCACGCAGGATAGACGGCGCGTTATAGCCTCACCACTATGCAGGCTAGAATTGTGTTCAAATTTTTTTAGCCCAAGGTATGCGACCTGCTGAGGATCCGCGCCAAACTGCCTGGCAAACGCGCGGCACGGGTCTTTGGAAACGGGGCTGCAATGTTCATTCAAAAATGGGCAAAATGCGCTTCTTCTTCCTCGCTTGGAGTCTTTGCGCTTTCGAACGGGCGCCATGATTGCTCCGGGTTCAAACTTGGACCATGTCTCACAAACGAAAAAATTTGATCAAAATGTAGTTTAATTTTGCGGGATTGGCGGCAGGGAAGGGGTGGATACGGACTTTAACAACCTTCCATAACGACTGGAAGCAGCAGGTTCATCCAGTATGATTTTTAATAGTTCGCAAACTTTCGTCGCATATCGCTGCTAGGCGCTGCTTCTGTAAAAATTCAAGATGAGCACTCGTCGGGCAGTACACGGAATCGTGAAAGTTCTGCGAGAGGCATTAAAGGTTGGTTTAAATGGTAGCGTTTGAGGTTGTCCCCAAGATGGCAGACTCACAAGTCGTTACTCCAAAGGCACATTTGGCGAATACTTATTGATATGCAAACCTACAGCGGAGCGTGGTCTAGGGAGTGGACAACTGCTCACCCACACGCGCACGGTCTGGGACGTAAGTCCTAGATCGACTCACCACCAAGCCAACCACAATCCTCGATTCCTCCAGGGGACGGTAACCGGAGGATCGAGCGAATGGTACCATCATCAGGAGGATAAGAATCTGACATGTATGACATAGGCCACACATTTAATGAGCACGATTGAATGGCAGCCAGGAATGCGACAGGGCGCATCCCACAACCAGGAGACTGCGACAACGCGAAGAGCTTTATAATGGGCGTAAGGGAAACTGTACTGGTTTTGCGAAGTTAAAAGCAGAGACGCGGAGCCGCCAAGCATGGTTAAATCAAGCCACTCTATTCCTTCGCACATAAGTTGCCATAGAGTATGATAAACTTCTACCTTTGATAAGAGTGATAAATGTCTACCATTCTAATTAACTTTCGACCCGGCAGAGAACTGTAACTCCAAATTCCTCCTCCAAGCGAAAAATTCAGCATCTCATCAATCTTCCGCCGAGCAGTTTCCTTGACTGCGCTTTTTTTTTCGTCTCGCCGTTTCAACAAGAGCAATCGAATGGAAAAAAGGCATAAATTTCCTCCGCGGCGCCCCCACTATTGTATCGCTAGTTACAAGAACGGGCTAGACATCAACGCTTTTGGATGCCATCAGAAAGCGCACACGCAAATTCAGAATGTCGCGGGCGAGAATGACACAATGCGACTGGAACGGCTCAATCTGTACATCGTGAAGCCGCCGAAATCGGACACTAAAATAGGCGAACAAAAGATACTTTTCACCTAGTCAAAATGATACTTCTTCTTTAGACCAACAAAAATACGAAAAATTAAATATTCTATTTCTACCCCAAAATTTGAAGGAAATTCCACAACCAAACCCTGATCGCGTGAATTACACTCGAAATCCCTGGGATAAGGTAGGCGTGGCTAGCGTACGTCAAGGCTAAACTCGTCTGGTGGCTATGCTTATTGCGAGATCATATTTTCATTTTGACCCGAATGTAGTACGTCTCTGGTCCAACAACAAACAAAGAACAAGATGGCGGTTGTCTTACATTGAAATATCCCACGAGTAACCAGATCTGTGTCATGTTCAAATGCCACGCCTACCCCTTCTCAAGGATAAGGAGTATATATAGTGCCGTGATCACAAATATGACATCTGTTTTGGGCGCCGGCCCCATTTGGCGCCAATAGACGCCATTTGCCACCACAATCTTCACCACAAGCGCGATATCAACGCCTGCACTCGTAGGACGTTATGGTGATGTCATTATCAAAGACTAGGTGGTGGAAATCCGCTTTTGGTGGCTGAGCAATTTCGGCGACCATCACTTGTCGCCACGGACCTTTTCCCTGCACCCCGCTGATTCGCTATATTATGCATTTGGTGTATCTATTGAGGGGCACCGATTGAAATTCGTTTTTGCTTCGCCGAGACGACATAGAGTGGTCTACATAAGGGCACCGTGACTACGGAAAGAGATGTGATCCTCCTTCCCGGGCGTTAACCCTGGCAAAGCGCAGAACGGCCAGCAGTGGCTAAGTTAACGTCTGCCGCGAAAAATGATCGCCATGTCCGTAATGAGGACGCCAAACAAACATCAGCATGCAAATTCAGACGTGCAATTTCGTTGACAAAGAGTCGGTGGTGCAAGTTCTGGCCGCCTGCGCATATTCAAGCCGCCCGAGAATCTGATGACAATATTATATTACCCTGCAAGGACATCAAATAATCCTAGTGTAGCAGTTTACCTGGATATTTGGTGATTTCGCTGAAACGGCGACGCTTATTCGTTGCATTGCAACAGAGTATCCTACAGAAAAGATTCAGGAAGAAGTAAGTTTCAAGGGAGTAGTGGTTGAATAGTGGCGAAAAAAAAAACAAGTTACTGTAGAAGAATCCTCAACTGTCACAAGCACAACCACTCAAGTACCATTCAGAATTTGAATGAATATCACGTCTTCACGATAGTTTTAAGGCACACTCCGTGATCGTAGGATGGGCGGAGACAAGAAACCACTCGGTCTTCCCCAATGGTGGGCCACGCCTAAAGCGATAAAGGGGAGCATCAGCATTGCTCCCTGTCTATCGCCTATAAGATGCATGCCTTCGAGGAAGACAGACCACCAGAGTCAGGCGTGTCTGCCATGTCGCACTGCTAATTGATATTCTGAGGACCCTCCCCCGTTCCCAAATTCTTCTTCTCCCTAGCCTTTGTCCCGCGCCGTCGCACGGTTCCCTAACAACCTTCCAAACTAGAAAACTGTTTACTGACGAATTTTTGAGATTTTTTAGGTCAACGAAGACGGTATTCTCATGTGGAAACCGAAGTTCCTGACACTCACTCAAAGCGAACTGCTTTTCTACGAAGCCGTACCACAAATGAAAACCGAATGGGCGGAGCCTCGCATAACTCGACCATTAGTTGCCACAAGGGTTGTACAGACGACGTCACGAACCGCACCAGTTATGAAGGGTAAGCCATCGGGAATGTTCTATTTTCGGGCTATGAGCAGTAGATCAGGCGCAGTTCGGCTTGGAGGGGCATTCTGCACTTTCGCTAGTTCCTTTTTTAGTTCGTGTTGAAAAAGAGGTCTCACCAGAGTGAGACTCGTGAACTCCTGTGAAACTGCGAAATCATTCGTGTGGGCCACTTTAGTCACAGGAATTTGCAGGCATCCACGTGGCCTGTAGAAGTTTAGCTGGGTGCTGTATGGTGCCCCCACCAAGCCAAACTGCGCCAAAGATTACTCTTACTGACTCACTTTTTACTTTTAGGTTTATCAGACGTCATATCCCTGCGAATACGAACGGGAACGCAAAACGGCGTACGATCGCATACATTACGGGTAGAAACCCACGCTGATCTTGCTCAATGGGTACGAGCGATCGTACTGGGAACCTATGAAGCCTGCTCAGAAACATCTCAGGTGCGATCACATCATATTGGAAAAATAGCTGTCCGCGGGCATTCGACAATCACTATTACTCATCACGTATCAAACAACTGCCTCAGAATGGCGCCCTCATAGCGGGAGCGAGAGTCAAAAAGGACATATAGATAAAAGATTCCGTTACGAAACGGCAAACAAAGAAGAAGACCTAGCTAATAAGACAGAACATCTGAAAAACTGTTCTTCGATATCAATTTATGTTTTGAATTTAGCAGCCGCTAGAGATAAGTAACGTCTGAAGTTCACGTGAACTTTTTTGCGGTGCAAGAAATACTAGGTATTGTGAAACGAAAAATGTGATAAGGAGCAGGGCAAGAATAGTGCGACTCCATTCGACAAACAAGAGGCAAAAGTACTGGGATCGATGACGAAACGTGGCCTTATAAACGCTATTAAACCGATTAAATTCAAATTAAAGGGTGTTATGCCGTTATGTGGTGCATCTATTCATTTCGATGCCGCCCTTCTAATAGCATTACAACCAGAAGACACGTATTATAGGCGGAAAGAACAATATCAGGATTTCAAATAATCGGCACGGAAACCGGCAACAATAGAACGCTTCTATATAACAAGTGACTGTGTTTGCTCCCGCTCTCAACGACGTAATAACAAAAAAAAAAAACAGAAACCGAAAAAATTCAGACTTCAATATTGGCGAGAGGGGAAGGCGGGCTTAAAGAAGAAAAAGTTTCAGTATACTATCTTTACACGGTATTAGGCATAAGCAAAATGATAAAGTAGCTGTAAAGAAGTCATCATCTGCTAAATTCTGCTGTACTGAATACTGAGCTGAAGCTGAGCCGAGTATTCTGCATTTTCGACAAAAATTATTTGAGAATTTGCAAAAACGACGATCAGCAGTAAAGTTCTTATTGAAACATAATCGCCATGGGTAGCTTTGACACCCGAGCGTGGGGACACGGCGCGCTCATTGCGAGCATCTTTTTTATTTGCATTAGGCAGTCAATTGGAGCACCTGATTTCATGAAGGCCACGAGATCATAAGCATTTAAGGTTATTTTGGCATTGTCTTTGGTCGGCATCCTGCGACCTATAATATACGACGTATTGCCGAGTGCCGTGACGTCGCAAGCGACGCCCTAAGCACGTAACTACCATTGTCCTATCACACACCACCTGACAGCGAATCCGATGGAAAGCGAAAGGACCTATGAACAATGCCCCCAGGTAAGCCTGGTGCTGGACAAGATTGCTGAGCAATGTCCAGTGATTAGGAGCGGCGCCACCATAACCCTTAGAGAGGACTTCCAGCCGAGTTCGTGGTGGAGTTGCGACAGAAACTGTCATCAAATTCGGAAGGAAACTATAAAGCATAATACGATGTCTTAAAAAAAGGCCAGTCCTTTAGAGGCGGACAAATTGTATGCATGTCACCTACATAGAGAATATTCTAAAACAAATGCCACAGTATGCCAATCAAAGCAGTACGAACCAGTGCATAGGAAGACGACAAATGCCTTCTTATCACTGATTTCAGGTGACATCTCCATGCATTTGCCGAGGAGAAAACTGCGAATTAGTAGTGAATTTAGATGCAGGAATTTCTCTATCAGGACCAAATAGAGAGGTAATAACAACTTTCACGTGATTTATAACAAATTAAGACAATACTCACCTTTCCAGATTATATGGCAGCACCCGTTCGAATCTATCCGAGCCACAGGTGACGACGGTGGTAGATTCTTATGGATTGACTTCGGGCCTCCAAGCGGCGAACAGGTACAATTTACCCAACCCTGGAACAATTTTAGCGATGCAGGACGGACAAATACCTTACAATTAGAAATCTCAGCGAAAATTTTGAAAATAAATACTGAGGTTATACTGTACCAGGTCATTTTTACCAAACACTTCATAATCAACTGTTTATCACAGAAAACCATAACAGACAACAATAATTCCAAATTTGAAATTTCTGAATTTCAGGAACTGGACCTAATCACATCAGCAAAACCGGATCGTCTTCATTTTTGCATTCCTTTCTCGCGCCACAAAAGTCTACCGATTAGGTCTTTATGCCTGACAACAAATACAAGAGGTCAGATCAATACAATTTCAACATTATAGCTGTAAAACCAAAGACTGGCGCTGTTCGGCTACGAGGGGGCATTTATATATTCGTGAGATCCTTCGTTCGTTGAGGTTGAATAAGAGGTCTAATTGATGATACCTTTTAACTCCTGTGAGGCTGCGAAATTAAAAGTCTCGTGGTCACAGGACTTGACAAAACTTCACATGATGGCCCGTACAAGCTTGGCTGAGTACCACTGGGTGCCCCCTCCAAGCCGAACTTCACCAAAAAGACCTTTGTTAGTTCTGGGGTGCACCATAGGCGTCTGGCATCCGTTCAATTGAAAATCGATGGCCAAGAATATACATAATCGGCACGCCGGGAATTTTTCGTATTCTTCGTTTGAGATCACGATCACATGTGGCCACAATGTAGCATTTATGCTGAAATAAATAAATAAATGAGAATATTTCAGATTTTTCGTGCCAAGGACCAAGCATTTCGTTCCCGTATGGCTACGCCATGCTACCAAACCCCGAATCTGTTGCCTGACATCTGCCGAGGCTAAACCGTCACTTCAACCCAGTGCAATCGCTCTACTTAGAAATTGCCGATATTCAGTATTACCCAGAATCGCTAGTGATAGTTAGAATGGTGAAGGCTGTGATCTTTTCTGCATAATAATTAATACGAGTTACTGGTTGAAACAATTGCTATTAAACATGATTTTGAAATTTGACTAATCTAACAACAATAAATTTTTCTTGAAAAACGAGTTGAATTTCACCAAATAAAAAGCTCTTATGGAAAAAATTCAAAGCAGTTCTCCCTGGCCACTGGGATCGGCAAGACGAAGTTTGGAACGTACACCACCGGGCTGTAGCAAAGAAGTGGGTTCAAAAAATGAATCTATCCAGCCTTGTTCGCATGCGGAGAGCGGTCCCGAGGGGGGTGTTTGACGTGGCCAGCCAGCCACTCTTGCACGAAGTTTTAGAAGTGGGGTCAGAAATAAACAATTGTGTGTAGAGCACCTGATGCGACCAATTTACATACATGTTTGCGCTTTCTAAAAAAAAAGAACAGAGGGGCGGCCTACGCGCCAAACTACTATTCTCCTCTGACACACCCCGTCAACCGCAGTGAAAAAGACTGTAGGTGTTGAGTGACTGGCCAACGAAGGAAAAAGAGGAAAGAAGCCTAGGATTAGGTTCAGTTATATGTCTTCTTTCCCCGCAGCTGATCTTGAGTACTGCGTAAGGCAGTGTAGAAACATGAAGCAAGCCGACGAGAGATCAGACGATGAAGATGGGACGGTACACTGATGTTGAGGACCGCTATTATTCGTGAGGCACTTGCACTGAGCGCCCTGCGCCTCCCCATTACGTGGCATGTGCAGTCCTGACGTTCTCGCTGCATTTCTGAGTCGCGAAAGTGGCACAACCTTCGCGGTTGCGGCTGGCCACCTTCTGCATTGGGTAAAACTGCAGGGTAAAATTTGTGTGTCAAATTCCCACTCATTCTTAGCACTACTTGCCGCTAGTGCCCCACGCTCCGAAATTTACATGAGATTTCGAACCACCTTTCCAACGAAGCCGATTTGACTGTGATTTGCTCTACGGGGTACTTTAATCCCTGAACACAAATACCACATCCGCCTGACCCGGAATCGCGTGGTGAGGGCCTGAAAACTTGTCTCCAGGGATGGTTTGACCCGCAACACATTAGTATCATGCCCGCTCTGGGCTAAAACGTCTAGAATGGCTTACAACGACAGCGCACATAGGGCACGCCGTAGCATTGGAAGATTTCTTTCTTCACTCTCACTCCCTTCCTCTCCAAACCTGTCGAGCCAAATAAAACTTCCCCTCACCACTTTAGGGAAAACCTAACTGCGGCGTGGGCTCCAACAATAGGCGTTTCCACTAGAAATGAATGGCATACTGGGAGTATCAAACTGCCCGAGGGACAGAATTTCGGCCAAATGTCGTAATGAAAGAAACTGGGCGAGATTCGGCTTAATTTTTTAGAAAGGAGCAAGAATTAATGCGCCTCAACTCGTTTCTACTATAAAAGGCGAAAGTCATGCCCAGAGGACCAAGGTATCGGAATAAACCAAATAAAGGCCCAATTTGTTGAAAAAATTAGGCATCGAAGGCGTTCAAGAGCAGCTGATAGTGCTCACACCACCACGATTTCCCTGAATCGAAGGAACGTGGAAACAACTTCTCGACGCTTGTTAGCCTTAAACACTTGTTTGCGATGAATGCTAGAGCGTGTCAGGGTCTGGATTTGGCGCGGCGCTGGCCTTTTCTTCATCAACTGTGGAAGCTAGCAAGCGACATCAACTTTGGGTTGGCGCCACGGCAAACCGTGCCTCACTGGCACGTTCCTAGCATCCGCGGCGAACAAGACTGTAGGAATGGACACACAATCCACTCAAAAATAAGCCTTGGGCGAAACTGCACGAACTTCTCTTAACGTAATTCTAGAACATCTGACATGTTAATACAGTGCTGCAGTTGCTGCTTAACTAGATGCTATCACTTAAAGATAGCTCCAGCGACAAAAGTGTCATGGATTGTTGCTTTTCAATTATGAAACAGTAGCTGATAAAAGCAAGAAGAGTCCTCAAGAACACCATCCA